GGTAGGTAGGTAGGTAGGTAGGTAGGTAGGTAGGTAGGTAGGTAGGTAGGTAGGTAGGTAGGTAGGTAGGTAGGTAGGTAGGTAGGTAGGTAGTAGTAGTAGTAGTAGTAGTAGTAGTAGTAGTAGTGTGTGTGTGTGTGNGGGGGGGGGGGGGGGGAGGGGGGTTGGTCGCCCGATGGGGGTGTGGGCCTACAGTATTTTTTTCTTGTTTTATGTGTGTGTTGTTGTTGAGTCTCTGCTCTCGGCAGGCCCCGAAAGTAGGTGTTAGTGCAGAAGTGCATCTTTCTCTATGTATGCGTAGGAACGCCATTATTTGCTGATTTATCTTAACTTTTGTTTTTTCTTGTTTATGTGTTTTGTTTTGTTGTTGTTGGGACGAGGGGAGGGGGTCTTCTTGAATCACCCCCTGAATAACTTTTTTTCTTCATTTTGGGCCTCCACCCTGCTGTAATGCCTGAGACGGCGTCAACCGAAAGCGTGTTTTTTTTCTTCCACCCAGCTATTCTCCTTTATATGAATTTTTTTTTGTTTTCTGATTTCAGCTGTGTCCTCGCTGCCGTTTTCTGCCACAACTGCCTACGCATGTCTGTGTGCGTAGCCATTTTTGTTTTTTGTGACGTCTTCCTTTTTTCTTCTTTGAACGCTTTTTTTTCTTTTGCACGTGTGTGATGGCTGAGACCCTGCCCCACCACTGGGGTGCGGGGGGATGGCCGCAGGGAGGAGGGCAGAGTCGTTGATGTGCATGGCGCCACGGCAGCGGCGACACTGATTTGCACCAGTGCACTCTCTCCATTCGCGTACGCACATAACTGGTTTACCTCTGCCTTTTCCGTTAATACAAGCTGGGGGACACCGTGGAGACCCCCGCTTTGCCGTGCCAAATGACCCTGCGGCCTGGGCCGCACAATACTGAGTAATGGTGGCGGGGACGCTTCTGAGGCGTGTGTACTGAGCCCAGCGCCGTTGCGGGGGCGACAGGGCTACGGAGTCGCGCCGCTTGCTTGGGAATGCGAGGCCCAATCTGCGCTCTGTCTCACAACCCGGAAGTACGGCAGCAGGACGCAGCATCGCGCCAAAGCTATTTCTTTCTTCCGCTTTCGTGATGATGCATGAGGACGTCCACGAAAGAGCGACAAATAATAATAAGAGACAAATTTTCAAATGCGTAGGCAGTGTTCCCCGTGACGTCACGTCTGCTTTTTTTTCTTCTCGGCTATAATGTAAAACGTGTTTGTTGGATATATTTTTCTACAATTCCTAATATTTATTTATTTGGTCTCTTGCCACTCTCTCCGTGGAGTGTAGGCCACTTACAAAAGAACACAATTAATTAACGTCATCAAGATACACTATCCCCTCAGTGAGAAAACATCGGCAGAGAATAAAGGGAGATGCTTCGCCGCACATTTGCCTGCTTCTCTTCAAAGCTGAGCAAGGCGTATCCGGTGATAGACCACACCTTTGACTGTGTGGTGGTGGGCGCTGGTGGTTCAGGTCTTCGTGCTGCGATGGGCGTTGCTGCCTCAGGCTACGACGTGGCGTGTATCTCTAAGCTCTACCCATCACGATCGCACACGATTGCGGCACAGGGAGGCATCAATGCAGCACTTGCAAACTGTGAAGAGGACGACTGGCGTTGGCATGTGTACGATACTGTGAAGGGAAGTGACTGGCTGGGGGACCAGGATGCGATTCAGTACATGTGTCAAGAGGCACCGTGTGTGGTCTCCGAACTAGAGAGCATGGGGCTTCCCTTCTTGCGTACAAAGGATGGATTTATTTATCAACGTGCGTTTGGCGGTCAATCGATTCACTATGGTGGCAAACAGGCGCGTCGGACATGTGCTGCGTCAGACCGCACCGGACACGCCATGCTCCATACACTCTATGGGCAATCGTTTCAATACGGTGTTAATTTCTTTAATGAGTACTATTGCTTAGACCTTATTGTGGACAATGGATGCTGCCGTGGAGTGGTCGCCATGAGCATAGACGATGGTACGATTCATCGATTTCGCTCCAAGTACACGATTCTCGCCACCGGTGGCTACGGTCGCTGCTGGTTTACAACAACGAGCGCCAAATCTTGTACCGGAGATGGAACGGCGATGGTAGCACGTGCAGGGCTACCAGATGAAGACATGGAGTTTGTGCAGTTCCACCCGACGGGAATTTATGGTCCTGGCGTGCTTATTACGGAGGGTGCACGGGGTGAGGGTGGTTACCTTGTCAACAGTGAGGGGGAACGCTTCATGGAGCGATATGCGCCCAAGGCAAAGGATCTGGCCTCCCGTGACGTTGTCTCCCGCGCGATTACGCTGGAGGTTCTCGCAGGCCGCGGCTGTGGCCCGAAGAAGGATCACGTGCTTTTGCAACTTCACCACCTCCCACCCGAGCAACTGCATGAGAAACTTCCTGGCATCTCCGAAAGTGCGCATATTTTTGCAGGTGTGGACGTGACAAAGGAGTCGATTCCCATCGTGCCCACGGTGCACTACAACATGGGCGGTATACCGACACTGTGGACGGGGGAGGTGGTCAGCCCCCGCAACGGCGACGACAACGCCATCGTCCCTGGTCTACTGGCGGCGGGTGAGTGTGCGTGCGCGAGCGTACACGGGGCAAACCGGCTGGGAGCCAACTCTCTCCTAGACATTGTCGTGTTTGGCAAGTCGTGTGCGAATACCGTTATATTTAACCTCACGAAGGAGGGACGCACGCAGCCCGAACTACCGTCGGACGCCGGAGAGTCATCTATTGCCGACCTCGACAGGATTCTGCACAACAAGGGAGATATCCCTGTCGCACGCGTCCGTGAGCGCATGAAGGAGACAATGGCGCTCTACGCAGCCGTGTTCCGCACAGAGGATAGTATGCTCAAGGGACAGAGCATCATTGAAGAGTGCTACCGGGATTACTCCCATGTACTTGTCCACGACAAGTCCCCAGTGTGGAACAGTAATCTCATCGAGGCCCTCGAGCTGCGCAATTTACTCACCAATGCACTTCTGACCATCACCGGGGCAGCAATGCGGCGGGAGTCACGCGGCGCACACGCTCGCGACGACTACCCAGAGCGAGATGACCACAACTGGATGAAGCACACGCTTGCCTACCTTGATGACAAAAACGGCAAGGCTCGCCTTGCGTATCGCAGAGTACACAACGAAATGTTGACAAGTGAACTGGAGAGCATTCCTCCTGCCAAACGTGTTTACTAGTATTAGTGCATTTTAGGACGCTGGATGAAACTGGGGGGCAGGAGGAGGAGGGGGGTGGGTAGATACAGGGATGGAAAGAGGTAGTATTTTTTTAAACGTGACAAGGGAAAGAGGAAATAAAACGCCCAAACGAAAATAGAATCATCTGGAGGTGTGTGTGGAAATGGAAAACGTTTATATTTTTGATTGGCATACATTTGTTACCAGAGGCCAGG